ATCTGAGAGTGGGGAGGACTGAACACCTGGATGTAGTACTCAAAACTCCTTACACCTCAGTCTCTGCTCTCTCAATGCTATTCGTCATGGATTGGAAATGGTCTCCCACAGATGGGATGGCTTGCATTCAGTCCTGAATCCTGAGATACCTGGCACAATCAGTGTAAACTAAGGGGCTGAAGCAGCTTCTTCCCCTCAGTGCAGAGAGTGAAAAAGAGACTCTTACCTGGCAGGAGTCTTTGCCACCTTCCATGAATCCTATGCACATCATATTGCTGGTGATTTGCCCTGGGTAAATACTGTTGCACTGGATGTCAGGCAGGATTGGAGCCCACAGGCACTGGAGAAGATCAGGGTAGTTGGCTACCAGGAAAGAGGGGAGAAGATTAGCCATCATTGTAGTGATTCAGAAGTCCCATTAGTGTAAAATGGGTAGACATCTGGCCTAGAGAATCCAACAACATAGAGGGAAGTGAGAGCTGTTGGCCTGTCTTTGGGATCCTCACACACTTCTATGATTGCATCAGGGGAAACATGCAGGACTGAGAGGCTTCAACACAAGGATTGTGCGGGCAGGCCAGTCTTAGCATAATGTGGATGCTACCAGGTGGGACTGATATGTATGGTTGTCCCATGCCAGAATAATGGGAAGGGACTGTGTGTTATGTGGAAAGTACACTCATACTCACAGCCACTGCTAAGGGTGTTTCCCCACCCGGAAATTAAGCATGAGATCCCATCTTCTGGACAGCCTGTGGGCAGTGGGATGGTTGCAACAAAATTGTTCAGTCTGGCTGGGGATGCCAGTTTGATCAGCATGATGTCATTGTCTGAGCTCTCCAAGTTGTATTGGTCATGTCAAATGATTTTTTCAGCATTGATGATCTGCTCAGTCTGTTCCTGCATGCTGATGTCATGCTCCCCCAGCCTTACCTGGATTTGGCTGCAAAATCAATAGTGCAACAGAGCAGCAGTTAACCACAGATAAAACGGTGGGGATGTTTCATAGGCAGTACCATGGAGTTTGCACGTGGGGGAGTACAGACATTTGGACTCCACTGCTGAGCTCTAAGGAAATAGATCTGATGGGGTCTCCTAGCTTGATTCTAGCCTGAGGATTGTGAAGGGAAGCTCAGTGCTGCCTCATTTTCTGGTGATGTGTCCTGCATAATGAGGGTGCTGAAAAATCCCTAACCTGCCACTGCTGCCTTCCCCTCTCCAGAGTCCACTCAGCATCTTTTGTGGTACATGCAGCTGGCTAAGCTCACTGGGCCTTTAATACCCCAAGGAATGGTGATTTGCTCCTTGTTCCTTAAGGCTTGGGGAGGAGGAATGAGAGACCAGATTTTGTTGGCAAGTCTCACCTGAAAGCCATTCTTTGAAACATGGGACCTTAGCCAGAATGAAGCACTATTACAAGTGACCCTGGATACTGGAGTGCAGACGTGGCCTTTCTGTATGGAGTTTGCATGTGCTTGTGTGCAAGCATGTATCTGCATAGATAAAGGGACCAGCTTACTTGCCTCAGAGGAACACAGCCACCTCTGGGGAAATCTGGGGTAGGTGTGCAGACAGACACAGGAATGAGTCTTAACAGGTTAGGTTGGGAAATGGAGGGATTGAGAATGAAACCAACTGGAAATCTTGGGGGAACCAAAGGGGGAGGGAACATAACAATTTCAAATTGACCTGTATTGGGGGACAGTGGATGCAAGTGCAAAGAACAACATCTTGGGACCTGCAGTGGTTGGGAATGGAGAAAAGCAGCTAGCTG